CCCCCCTGACCCCTCCCCTAAATCCGCCACTGGATAGGTCTTCTCTCAAGAAACAACATCATGATATTGCGCGCGAGAAAGTCCCCACGATGTTACACCGTTATACCCCTCAAGGGGTTTTTGCATGATGATTCGGGGGGGGGGGGGGGGGGGGGGGGGGCAGCCATTAGTTGTTGGGGGAGGGGGTGATAGGCGTAATTTATAGGTATCACTTGTAAGCATGTAACGTTTTAGGCTATAAAAAAGCGTTTTTCGTTAAAATTTATGTTCCATATGACGCATTTTAGCAGTTGGGAGTAACGTTGTCTGTGTGTCTCTGTGTGTGTGTGTGTGTGTGAGGGGGGGGGGGGGGTAACAATGTGGAGGAGCAGAACCAACTACCAGTAGGCCTATGCAAGGCAGTAATAATAATTATAATAATTTATTTTAAGTCTAAAAGAAAGAGTCAGATTCTACAAAAAAAAAAAATGCAGTCTTATTCTCACATAAAACCAGTTACAATAAAGATATAACCAATATGAAAGTTTTCTAAAAAGAAATGCTTTTGACTTTTCTTTAAATTAAATTAACAGTTGATTCATTTAATTGAGCAGACTTCAAAGGGTACCATATTCCACCCCATTGGATCAACTGACTTAAGGGATGTCCCCGGTCATTTAAGTCACCCCCCCCCTTTCTTCCGGAGCATCTCTTTCTCGGCCTACGGTCCCCTAAAAGATCCGTATTTTTGGAATAACAATATTCAGTCTAGGACGCATTGAGCAAGCTGCTCCTGGATTCAATCATTAATTCGTCCAAAGACTTTTAAATCGCTCTTAAGGGAAATCGCGCATATAATACTGCCTCGCTTCAGGAGAAACGGCGGGCCTGTCGTGCCTGTGGCCTGTATTGGCGTTTTCGCCATTATCTGACCTGTCCTGGCGTTTTTAAGTCGCGCCGATATCCTTTAACGCATGCGCAGACGTATTACCACAGGACTTCCGAAACGTGAACTTCTTGGTGAAGGTCGAGTCGGAGTTGAGCATGTAAGTTCTGTATTTATTGCAATTTTACCCTTTAGCAATGGGCATTTGCCTAATTAATTTAAATGAAAAACCAGTGATTTTATTTGGTCTTAAAGGAACTGTGATCAGAAGCGATAAATGCCTTTGAATGAGAAATTTGATGATTTACCGGCCAAATACCAGTAGCAAAACTCTTTTATGACAATTTTGTTTTTTTTTCTTTTTATTTATTTAAAATATTTGATAAATTTTTCTCACAAGATTACAGTGACATCAAAACATAATTTATAAGTAAGTGCAAAGATTATTAGTGAGTGCTGAGTTATATTTTAATACTCTGCAATTCAATCTAAAATTTAAACTTGTGACATTCTCTTTTGTCATACTGTACAAATGTTTTCTGAACTTTCTTAGTAGATTAGAAGTTTTTGCCATGGCAAAATATAAGCTTCTGATCGGAGGCGGTCTGGGAACAGCGCTCGTGGGTGGCATCACATTGTATGGACAGACACTCACAGAGAAACAGGAGAAAAGAACGACTGTATTAAAACCAGACCAAGTAAGTCTCTCTCTCTCTCTCTCTCTCTCTCTCGTTCCAATAAGGGGGTGGGTGGAGTCCATTGGGTCACATGTACCCTTAAGCTATGGAGGCATACCCTTTTCTCCCCCCCCCCCCACCAAAAATAAATAAATAAATTATAAACAAGTAAATGAAAGAAAAAATAATAAAAGAAAAAAAAAGGGAATTATAAAACCAAAAGTAAATAAATAAATTTATAAACAAATAAATAAAAGAAAAAAATAACAAAAGAAAAGGAATTACAAAAGCAAAATTTGTCATCATGTAACTTGATTGCAATTGTTTCCCTCCCATGAATGCCAGTCACTTGCATTGTGTTGAAGACAGTGTGGCACTATCCCACAATGCATTTTGAGTGCTCCACATCCTACTAGTATATTGAAATCTAAGATCTTCTTTGCCTTTGATAAAAGATTTCTAGTCTCTTTATTCATAAATCACATTACAGTTAGCCTTCTATGAAGTGGGAGCAAGTGGCAAGGAGTATTACATAGAAGAGACGATAACTCCAGTGACAAAGTTTCTGAAATCTACTAGACTGTCCATTAGATCAGCTTTAGAACCTTTCAAGGTGGGTAGTGTGTGTGTGTGTGTGTGTGTGCGTGTGTGTGTGTACGTGTGTGTGAGTGTGTGTGTGTGCATTTATGTGGATGCGTGAGTGCATATGTGTGCTTGGGTATGAATGTAATGCATTAGCACGAAAATTCATGCATTAGCACTCCTATTGACGATTTTGATATGTACTGGCTGTGCTAAGACAGCTAGTAAGCTACATATCAGAATCGTCAATAGGAGTGCTAACGCATGAATTTTCGTGTTAGTAATGCATGTGTGTGGTTTTGTGTGTGTATGTGCATGAATGCATGCAGTCTTTTATGTTAACACCAGTGACATTTTGTTTGATACGCATTCAGTTTCATGAGTGCAACCAGATGAAATTCTGTCGCAGTAATGAAGTGGAAGCAACTCTGTTCTCTGCATGAGAAGCTGCCCAAAGTGTGATTCTTATTTATTTATTTTTGTTATTTATTTGTTTAAAACACCCAATTATGACCTTATAATACCTGGAATGTAAAGACTTATTACCAATCAATTCTTCTAAGACTACCTTAAAGTTTCTTCTTATTTTAGGATAAGGATGGTGTTAGTATAATAGAGAAAATCAGTGACAAGTGGGGGATAGCAAGGGCACACACAGAAGGTAGGTTTAAGGCCCCATTCAGATCGAGAAGAGCTGAGTGCTAGCTAGGCCAAAATATAGCAGACCTACATGAAAGGAAGACCACTTAATCCTGTAATGGTCTCTCTGCCTCTCACACGGCTCCCCACGTGTCGTCCCTCCACCCGTTGAATTGAGCCGAGATTTATTAACTTGTCCCCTACAGGGATGTGGGGAAGTGGGTGAGAGGCGGAGAGACCATTACAGGATTACAGGGAATGGTCCCTGTGAGTGTTGAGAATTGATTCCGTTTTATATTGTAAAAAGCCAGTATCTCTGTATGCTTTAGATTCAGGAACATGGCCCTGACTGTGCTTCAAATGCAGTAAAGTGTATGGTAGACATTGTGCATTTATTTATTTACAAGTATGGTTGTTTGTTTACTTTTCTATGTCATTATTGTTTACACTGTTATGGTGCCAAAAATGATACTAGACCTTAAAGAACAGATACAGTGGATCCTGAAGGTAATGACAGTATTTATTTATTTATTTATTTATTTATTTATTTATTTATTTATTTATTTCTCTTCGCAAAAAATCATTTCAGACCTTATAGAACAGATAAGGTCGGATCCTGAAGTCAAGGCAAATGCTGGCATGATTGCTGTAGCAGGAGTGGTAGGAGCCTCTCTAGGATACAGAGGTATGATCTTTTAAAGGCCGTTCCGCAGTTTATTTCCAATCTGTAATGTCAAACTTTAACATCTTCTTTCACTTTTGGTTTAAATCAGTTGGTAAATGGTACAGTGACATTTTCTCTGTTTCTTTGAAGAGTTGAAAAGTATGTATTTGGAGGGAAACAAGCTTAACTCGGTGGCTTTTTTATGAATATATGTTGTAAATTAGGGATATGGCATGAGAGAGAGAGCATGAAACGGTGTGTGTGTGTTTGTGTGTGTGTGTGTGTGCACGTGTGAGAGAGAGAGAGACATTTGCAGACCTCAGAAGGTTTGCCTGTGGTTTGGATCCCATTATCCTCCCTTTTATTTCCCCTATAGGTGGTGTGCTGAGGAAGGCAGCCTTTGGTACTACAGCTATGGTCGTGACAGCCTCCTTGCTGTACCCAGAACGGGCCGTCTCTGTGGGGATCGCAGCGGTAGACAGGATCACAGGTGAGATGCTCTGTTCATATCAGGATCAAGTTAGACTTGAGGGTGACTTACTTCTGCTACGTTCACACCAGGGATTAGTTAGACTCAAACTTTTTTCTGTAACATTCTCATCATGATTGAGTAAGACTTATGAGAAACTTTTGCAGCTGTATTTACACCAGGCTTACCTTTAGCTAATCTTAGGTCTGTTGCTTCACATCTGGATAATGTTAGGGCGCATTCCCGTAGATTTTAGATTGATCTATCCCTGTGGGGAGTCTCACTAGATAACTGTCAGATAATCCGGCTTAAATGTCCGTCCCGCCTACTACAAGCTGTAAGGGGGTAATTAACTTTCGTGCCCTCTCAGCTGAGTTATTTAGCGTGAACCCCCAGGGAGTTAGGTCGATCTAGTTGGATCGATCTAATCTCTGGGAATGGGGTCTTATACTATATTTCTGCAGTGTAGCCATGTATATTGAGATAGACTTTATGTTGCGTTCACATCAGGATATGACTTAATTGACCAGATGAAAAATTCCATAACACTGGTGGTAATTAAAGGCATGAGTGGAGTTTCTCTGGTACATTTATCTTGTCCAGTGGAGGGTTCAAGCAAGGAGGATTTCCACTGAAGAGTAGTTGGCCTAATTCAGTACTTAACTAGTTCAACAGGTGGTGTGATTGTGTCCAAAGCTGGATGGACCCAGTGTCAATGGAAATGTGCCTTTTGTCTTTTTCAGATCTGTTGTGAATATTATTGTTATTTAAAAGGGCTTCATTTTAGATGTGTAGTCGCTTGTAACATTTTGGATGTAATTGTCCTATGTGTAGTACCAAAAAAAAAAAAAAAATGTCACAGATGCAGAGTATTGTTATAATTATTATAATCATTTATTTTTTTGAATTCTTCAGTGAATTATGGAAAAGGTAAAGATTCATTCACAGTAGAAAATGAAAATGAACCATTGATTCGTTATATTTGTTTTGTTTTGTTCTTTAATTTTTTTGACAGTTGTAAAATATTTTTATCATTTCAGGAAAAGGTAATGAAGTTAAGAAATCTGAGGAAGAAATGGACATTTCAGAACAGGTCAGCACCGAGTTGACTCTGGAAGAGACAACAGGCTCTGCAACAGAAACTGAAACACCATTTAGCAGTAGTGACCAACTGGACAGCCAAAGTGACCAACCAGCCAGTAAAAGTGACCAAAAAGAACAGGATTCTTAGGGTTAATAAGGTATTTTTTTTTTTTTTTTTGCTTATTGATTCAGTTTTAATTTTTGATTTGTGTGAACAGATTAGAAGTTGGGGAACTATTTTCAAGTGGCTGAATTTAATTGCTGTGGATTAAGTGTAGGATTTTATCCATTTTTATTTTGACTATGGGTCTATTCCCACAACTTTAGATCGATCTATCACCGCGGGGAGTCTCACCAGACTACCGTCAGATAATCCCCCTTAAGTGTCCGTCCCCGCCCACTACAAGCCGTAAGGGGCAATTAACTTTCGTGTCTGCCTGGCTGACAGCTATTCAGCGCGAACCCCCAGGGAGTTAGGTCGATCCAAAGTAGGTCGATCTAATCTATGGAAATGGGGTGTATGTGGTCATTTGGGCTTGCTTCAACCAAAATAGAAAAATGTTCAGAAAGCCATGCATATTAACAAAATGCATTTTTCTTTTCATTTTTTTCAGAATTTTTCATAAAAATGTAGAACAGACTCCCAAGAAGAAAAAAAATACTGTTACAGCATGGACTACTTGGCAAAGATGGCATGGACTACTTTTAAGTTTTCCCTTCAAAGTTCTGATCAATATATTCAGAACAAAAATAATTAAATATTTCAAACAAGACTAACTCTTTTTTGTGTCCGTCTTTTTTCCTCAACCACAAATCTAGACTATTTGAAGAGGAAAATTCCTATGCAAATGTATGGACAAAATATACCCTGTAAGAATATACTAGCAAAAAGTGAATAAGGCAGCAAAGCATCAAATATACAGACAAGAAAAAAAATTCAATGAGGCTGGTTTGCCAATCAGAGCTGTATGTCAGTCATTCTTCTAACAAAATAAGTCACAACTTTCTTTTTAGAGTATTTGAAGTGACAATACACAAAATATTTTTATCAATTTTGATGAAATGTTACATAATGCTTATCAGCTTGGAATCACCATCAATTTCAAATTATGCACTGAAGGTAACATAGGTATCTAGAAATTTGTGACTAGCAAAGGTCTACAGGCCCTTGTGACTGGAAATGCCAATATGTACACCGTTTTGGAAATGTGTTATTTTCATTGCAATAATTATTACGTAATACACAATTTACTTATTACATAATACATAATTTACTTTCATCTTTAGATGATCAACTACAAATTGTTAAGAGCATAAAAATATTAATAAAACATTGTTAATATGTTCAGTTTGCTCCATTCTGAGATGAGGAACATGCCTAAGAATTAAATCTGAGGAAAACCCATTTATATACAAAAAACCAGCATAAATTCAACAAAAATAAACTAATAAAGCCAATTTTCGAACTTGGTATCAGAACTTTGAATCAGATCTGCAAATTTCAAATCAAAATATGACATGGTTTTCCTTTTTATTTATATGATGGTGGATAAAATATGCTGAAAAAAAGCAAAAAAAAAAAAAAAAAAAAAAAAGCATTACTTTTGGAAAAATGGCCTGCTCAGGCTGATTTTCTTACTTGACCTGTATTTCATAAATATTCATCATTTCTGCAAGTTTGAAGACAAAAAGTAAAAATGGTTTTCATTTTATTTGTATAATGGTAGATAAAATCTGCTGAAAAAGACCAGAAAAAAGCATTACTTTTGGTAATTGTTTTGATCAGGCTAATTTTTCGAACTTGACCTATATTTAAAGAATTTCGTTAGTTCTGCAAGTTTGAAGACCATAGGTAAAATGATTTTCATTTTATTTGTATAACATTGACAGTGCATGGCGACGTAACAACAACAGACACAGGTGACTGCCATACATATAGACACAGATGTGTCTGTAAATAAGAAGTCAATTTAAGTTAAAAAAAAAAAAAAACTTAACAGAAAGTTGCATTTTATTCAATAAAAAAATTCAATTAATGATAGCCTATTTTTTTAAATCAAGCTGTATATCAGCTCTATTAATCTTTTGAGTTTGAGAATTATTAGTAACGCGGTTTTCCTTAAGTGGTCTTTATAGTGGCAACGTTCAAAATAGGATTTTTAGTCAATATTAAATAATACTTAACAGCACAATCACCGCCAATTTTTAACTATGCACAACAGGTAACAAAGATATTCAGGAAATCAAATAGAACATTGTTTTTTTGTTTGTTTTTTTTTTACTCAACAGTGTGTAAATTTTTTCAATGATTGGGAAAAAAGACATATCTGCAATTTAGAATTAATTACTATGATGTTATTCTTGACTCAACTTTATTTTTATTTGTAACAATCGATTCAGCCACAGACTCCCAAAAGACTCACTCTAGCACCTTTTAAGCTATTCAACTGAAGTCTTTTTACTTAATTGGGTGATTGTGGCCTTAAAACTTTCATTTGTTTACTGCTATTATATTTTTCTAAACTTTACTGTAAAGAGACCATGTTATAAGTTGACAATCACAGCCTTCTTCCATCAAATGATGGTCATCAGTGTTCCAGGAAGTGTTTCAATCCATCAGAATAGATCAAAATGGGCACGCTATGTCCCTCTGGTGACAGTATGTCTTGTCCTGTACAGTAGAGACCTCTGGTATCATATCTTGTCCTGTGCAGTAGAGACCTCTGGTATCATATCTTGTCCTGTACAGTAGAGACCTCTGGTATCATATCTTGTCCTGTACAGTAGAGACCTCTGGTATCATATCTTGTCCTGTACAGTAGAGACCTCTGGTATCATATCTTGTCCTGTACAGTAGAGACCTCTGGTATCATATCTTGTCCTGTACAGTAGAGACCTCTGGTGTCACATCTTGTCCTGAACAGAAGAGACTTCTGGTGTCACATCTTGTCTTGCACAGTAGGGACCCCTGTTGTCAAAATATAATGTCCTGTATTGTAAGGACCCTCAGTGACTCATTATCTTGTCCTGAACACCCAGCCGCCCCTTAGTTTCAAAGTGTCCTTGTCCTGCACCAAATGCCCTGTAGTTTCACAATACTGTCCTGTGTAGCATGGAGCCCTGATGTCACAAAATCCTGTCTTGTTCACTAGGGCCCTCTAGTGTCACAGTGTCCTTGTTCTGCACCAAGGATCCTCTAGTTTCACAATGTTGTCCTGTCTACTAGCACCATCTGGTGTCATGATGACCTGTCCGGCAGATACTGTCCAATGACATTTTTCCCCACATCTACGACTGACCCAATTAGTAATATCCACAGCGGTATCATGACATAAAATAATGACAGCGAAGAAACATACTGGAACCTCAGACAAAGTATAATTTCAAAGATGAGTTTCATGAATAACGAGGTCAGGTACCACGCCCGCCTTTTTATGCTGACGAGTCCTCGGTCATGGTAGGCACGGTTTTTACAGTGGCGCACCATGGTGACAAAGACGTAGATGACGACTCCGATGTCATAGAGCCACATGGGAATGAAGATGATGAACCAATTCCAATCCACCTTAAAAGATAAAAACGTCTTATTAATAATAATTGAATAGCAACATATGAATATAATTCCATGAGTTTGACACCAGCAGTTAGCAAGCCAGATTATTTGTGAAAAACATTTGCCCAAGAAATAATGTGCCATGATAAAGCTTCATAAAAATGTCAAATAAACCTGTGACAAGAACTTAACATTTACACTCAGTCATTGTCTGAATTATTATTAGGTAATCTTAATTGTGACGTTTATTTAAAAATATAAAATTATGAAAACGATATACCATTACATGTGCATCTACACTTTACAAAGACTAAGTGTGTGTTCACAATAAAACAATCATATTATCGAACTTAATCCACAGGGACACTTGCTGAATGCAACCAAACTACATGTACTACCACTACTAATAGTAATAGATACTAGTACATGTGTACACACCTCCTCCCGGCGTTGAGAAGAATGCACACAGAAAAGCTGATGATTATATTTGTACGTTGGGAATAAGTGGAGGCGTGTTAGTCTGTTAACCTGATTGCGTTAAGCGAGAGTCCTGGCGCGATAGATGCAATGCAAACCCATCTTAAAAAGTAAAACTAAGAATTAAAATTATTTATTATCAACTTGAACTTACGACAAGTCCCACATTTCACCAGTTGCTATCTTAGGTCTGTCACTCTACTGAATTGACTAGAATGCAAATTAATCACCCTAACTAACTGCCTATGATATGTTATTCACAATAACAAATCCCCTACCTTGTCATCGAGCTTCAAAACAAGTAAAATGAGGAAAATTAACGCCATGAACCACGTAAACAGAGCTCGCTGTATGACAGCCATTATCTTTTTCTTTGAACAAGACAAGCTCTTTGTTACTGTTCATTTCCAAACAACATGCCATCCTTTATTTATATTTATACCCATTTATACTACAATAAAAGGATTGATAACAAATTTAAAAAATGCAAGAAACAAACTTTTTATTTTTGTTAAACAATAATGTGGATCGTCTTGGAAGAGGTCAAGAGGTCAACCACAGGTATAGAACGCTAGAGCTCGAGGAACAAAGAAGCCGGCGAACGTTCAGGTAAAGTTGAAGTGACATTTATACGCGTATGTGTCATCTTAGGGTTATGACAAATCTATAAATTGTTTTACTGACTTCAGATATAGCTCATTCTCATTCCTTAATGTTAATATGAAGTTTTGGTTGAAACTTTTTTTGACCTTTTTTTTCACTCGGGGTTGAAGCTAGAAGCTAGCCGATCACCCGAAATGACAAATGTTCACGTACCAGTATTAAATTTCAATTAATTTATTGATGCTTACGTGTAACAGTCAGGTGCCAGCTGATAGAGCCAAGGTGGTCATAGAGCAGAGTGTTTCAATAATGAAAGGCAAAAGCATAATGAAATTAATTTTCAAATTAAAAAAAAAAAAATGAAACCTTAACAAGAGTGAGTGTAGACTATATATATATATCTGTCATAAAAATAAATCGATAAAATGAATTAAAAACAAATAAATAGATCAAATGTTTTTTTTTGCATTATGATAATTCAAACAAATTTCTTCGTCTGAATTTGTCCCTGTGTACGTATTTCTCAACTGGGTGGGCAGCGACCCTGGTCGTGACTTATCACTTAATTGTCAGGGCTATATACTAGTATAGGCCTATACTATAGTAGCTACATACATGAATATAGCCAATAATATACAACCACCTAATTGTCTGGTACACTACATAGAGTCTATATAGGGTATACACTTGACATTCAATGACCAAGGCCATTCATTGTAACTAGGTACAGTCAGTCCAGTGTACTTGTGAATCTGTCTTTGTCTCAGATTAGAGATATATAGCACAGTGATAGCATGCTGGGCCACATTAAACTCCTTGACTAGACACTTGAAGCATGGTATATAGCTCAAGTAGTTTCACCGAAGTTTAAACAACAAGTTAGTTCAGCGCCACCACCCCCTCCCTCTCAGTAATAAAAATGATTTGAAAATCTGTTGATTTTGTGTTATAAGATATTGATACTGTTGTGAATGTCTGAAATTGATAAATCTTGAAGATTTAGGTTAGTAGAATCGTACCTGGCTCTTGAAAATCTCAAGTAATTACCATATTCATCTCAATGACCCTTTATTCGCATTCAAATGTTAATGACCTTTTCAGACTAGAATAAAAAGCCTTTGATCCCGTTAAAGTTAATACAATTAAGAAACACTGGAGCCAGTGTAGGATTCAGGGCTTAGCTGAAGGGAGTAGGGGCAAAGGCATTAAATAAGCAATCAATCAATAAATCAATCAATAAACCAACCCATGGAACAATCAATCAATTGATCAAATAATTGGTCTTTTGTAGGGCATAGGGAAAACTAAATAATTCGGTTTCATCTCTTTTTCATTGTTATTATGTATTAATTCATTGAGGAAGAATAAAGAGGGTAATTAAGGCACAAGCTAAGTGTTGCCCACTGTGCACCCCCCCACCCCCCACCCCCACACAGGACCTACCTTACTATTAACAATGACATGATGAAATAATGAAAAAAAGAAATAGTACAGTGTTATTTTGTAATAATGAAAGTAGACTCATATATCAAGTTAGCATGGGATGTTCAGCTTCAACAAAAGAAAAGTTTTGAAAAGTCAGCATCATTACTGAAGGCCAGTTCAATTATAATATTCAAGTTTTGTTTCATTTTAGTCAATATGGGGAAACACATTATAGTTGTCCATGGGTACCTGCTTAGCGGGACAGGATCGAATATCTACTCCTGTAACCTGGCGATGCAGTGGAAGAAACAGGGCCACGCAATTACTGTGTTCTGCCAGGACCCGCAGGCGGGAACCTACGACTGGGTGGACGAGTTTTTTACATCAGAGGTATGAAGTATTGGGGTAACAGTGGTCTTATTGTGAAAAAATTCGATTTGATCAATTGGTTTTGCTCAACAGATAAAGTAAGTATAGTTTTTAATTTGTTTATTTATTACTTATTAAATCTATTTAGTAAAATAAATAAATAATAAATTTTTTTATTATCATTAGTCAAGTGAATGATAGAGATAGAGCACTGATATTTTTTTTATAAAGCCTGCATCGATCATTACCATCATGACTTTAATTTTTATTAATAATATTATCACATTTTTTTTCATCGTCGCAGGCGTCATGGCCGAAAGATCCACCAGCCCCAGGCAAAGTGCGAGTCCTGGTCCCCGATATAGCCGGCCTGTTACCAGTGTACGTTTATGATGAGTACGAGGGCTACACAGTGAAGACCATTCCCAATTGTACAGACGAAGAGATTGAGCGACATATCAGCATGACATCCAAAGCCATACGCAAAGCTGTGGATATGTGGGGATGCGATAAGGTAGGATAACTTGGTGGTGGTTTTCACATGTGCATGTGTTTGTGTGAGCATCATTTTACTTGATGACCTTAGATTTATAATGGATATTTATAATTCAAAAGATAATTGTAACTTATTGATATAGTTCATTTCTTAAAGTTAAAACTGAAAAAAAAAATGAAAACAGCTTTAATTGAAGGTAAAAATAGGAAATAAAAGCTTAAACATGGCTTTATAGGTCATCATAAATTTTTTCAGTAGTTTTGGATGTGTATTTTATACCTTGGAATTATTACAGGAAGAAAGTGTGGAAAATTCCATGTAGACACCCATAATGCTCATTATCTCCACCAAGGAATTGTGTTTTCATCTCAGTTTGTCTGTTTTTTTTTTGTCACTGGCCTAATCAAA